CGCTGCTCCGGGCCTGGCCGCACCCGCCCCGCCTGCTCCCCCGGGCCTGGCCGCTCCCAGCCTGGCAGCCGCTGCTCCGGGCCTGGCCACACCCGACCCGGCTGCTCCCCCGGGCCTGGCCGCTCCCAGCCTGGCAGCCGCTGCTCCGGGCCTGGCCGCACCAGCCCCGCCTGCTCCCCCGGGCCTGGCCGCTCCCAGCCTGGCAGCCGCTGCTCCGGGCCTGGCCGCACCCGACCCGCCTGCTCCCCCGGGCCTGGCCGCTCCCAGCCTGGCAGCCGCTGCTCCGGGCCTGGCCGCACCCGACCCGGCTGCTCCCCCGGGCCTGGCCGCTCCCAGCCTGGCAGCCGCTGCTCCGGGCCTGGCCGCACCAGCCCCGCCTGCTCCCCCGGGCCTGGCCGCTCCCAGCCTGGCAGCCGCTGCTCCGGGCCTGGCCGCACCCGACCCGGCTGCTCCCCCGGGCCTGGCCGCTCCCAGCCTGGCAGCTGCTGCTCCGGGCCTGGCCGCACCTGACCCGGCTGCTCTGGGCCCGGCTGCCCCGGACCCGGCTGCTCCGAGCCTGGCCACTCCCAACCTGGATGCTCTGGGCTTGGCTACTGCTGTTCTGGGTCTGGCTGCTCCCACCCTGGCTGCTCTGGGCCCGGCTTCTCCGGGCCCGGCCACTCCGGGTCTGGATGTTCCTGGACTGGCCACCCTGGGCTTGGCCGCCTCCGCCTCATGCCTGGCTGCCACTGCCCCAGGTCTGGCTACTCCAGTGCTGGCTGTTGATGGTCTGGTTCTGGCTGCTGTTGTTCTGGGGCCTGGCCGTTGCTGCTCCGGGTCTGGCTGCCACTGCCTTGTGCCTGGCCACTCTAGGCCTGGCCGTCGCTGTTCCAACATTCTGTCCTTTTTTTTTTTCTTTTTAAAACGCATTTATGTTGCAATGTTGGCTGGTGAGTTGAGTTCTGACTTGGTCTTTGATTTTTCAAGATCTTCTTCATATTCTTTCTTAAGTAATTTTACTATTGTTTGCTCTCACTTGATTTCTTCACATTGAGAACTTCTTTGGTTTCTTCCTCCTTGTCCTGGGAGCTCAGCAGGTTGGCCTGTGGCACCCCTTTGTTCTCCGCGGGCTCCTGTGCTGCTTCAGCCTGTTGCCGGGACGGCGCCGCCCAGGAAGCAGCCCCCGGCCTTGGCTCCATTGCCCGAGCTCAGTGGTCAAAGGCTCAGGGCACTCACGCCCCCAGGGGCCCCGTGGCCCGCCTCCTTGCTGGTGCCCGGTTGGCTGGAGTCCGGCAGGGGCTTCCGCTCCCCTCCGCGTTCCCCCAGCCTAGAGCTTTTTTTTTCTCCTTCCCGCTAGGGAAGTCCAGCATCAGAGTCAACAGACTGTCCTCTGCGCGCAGTTTGCGCGAGTCCCACAGACTGTCCTCTGCGCGCAGTTTGCGCGAGTCCCACAGATTGTCCTCTGCGCGCAGTTTGCGCGAGTCCCGGGGGCCCGGCCTTTCGCTGCTCTCCCCGGACTCCACCTCACAGCCCCGTCTCCCTCTGCCTGAGCCTGGGTTCCCAGGGATTGGCCCAGAACTGGGGTTCAGAGCAGTCCGGACTGAGGCTCAGCGCCGCCGGAGGCCTTGTTTCTTCCGGCTAGGGCAACCCAGCATCAGAGTCAACATTCAGTCCTCTGCGCGCATTGCGCGCGACTCCTGGGGCCCTGCCTTTCGCCGTTTTTCCGCCTCACAGCCCCGTCTCCTCCCGCCGGAGCCTGGGTCCCCAGGGTCTGGCCCATAACTGGGGCTCAGCGCTGCTGGTTCGGGGGGGCTCAGCGCTGCCGGTTCGGGGGTTCAGCCCAGGGTGGAGGTTTTATTTCCTTCCTGCTAGGGAAGGAAAGGCGGCTCCCCGCCCTCTCCTCCTCTCTGGCTGCGACCTCTCCGTGCGCGCGTGCGGGCGGGCAGGCGCGCGCAGCATGTCTCCGTACCTTAGGCTTTTTTTCAGCTCCTCTGATTTTCTTTCTGGTTTTCTCTTTCCTTCTTGTTGTAGAAATTTCAGTCAGTCGACTACCTGTAGCTCTGGGCAATGTCCACTCTACATTTTAGTTGTATTCCATTGAAATTGTTGTGTGCTGCCGCGGCTAGATGTCTACCCGAGCAGCCATCTTGGATCCTCTTCCAGGTCTCTAATCTTGTCTTTTGTGTAAGCTGGATTGGATTTGGAGTGTTTTCTTGTTTGTTTGTTTTTAAAAAAAGCTTTTCAGCAATCAAATGGATAGATATTTCCTTGGGCTGAATTTTACCAGTGACTGATTTTATCCAACATTTAATATGATGCTTTTGATGTTTCAATTGTTCATAGTCTCATTACTAAGATCATTAAGATTTACTTTATTTATTAAATTTTATTTATTGATTTTTAGACACAGAGGAAGAGGGAAGAGAGAGAAACACCAGTTTGTTGTTTTATGCATTCATTGGTTGCTTCTTGTATGTGCCCTGACTGGGGAACCCTGGTGTATCAGGACAATGTTTTAACCAACTGAATTACAGGGTTAGGCCCACTAAGATTTACTTTAAATCAGCCTGTTATCTTTGCTAAAAATTACTGAATGAATAGGGATAGTAATAATAATAAAAAACCAAGTATAACAAAAATGATAGGATAAAACATTCATTTGGCACTGTTTCTGTTCTTTTATATATATATGAGCATATATATAAAAGAATATATATATATATATATATATATATATATATATATATATATATATATATTAGAGACCCAGAGTATGAAATTCATGCACGGGTGTGTGTGTGTGTGTGTGTGTGTGTGTGTGTGTGTGGAGGTCACCTCAGCCCAGCCTGCACCCTCTCCAATCTGGGACCCCTTGGGGGACATCTGGGATGAAGCCTAAACAGGCTACCGGACATCACTCTCACAATCTTGGACCGCTGGCTCCTAATTGCTTACCTGCCTGCCTGATTGCTTCTAACTGCCCCCCCCCTCTTCCCTGCGCGCCCCCCCCCCCTGCTTGCCAGGTTGCTCCCAACTACCTTCCTCCCCTCCCTGCCAGCCTGATCACCCCAACTTCCCCTGCCTCCCCACTGGCCTAGTCGCTCCTCACTGCCCCCCCCCTCCTCCCCACCAGCCTAATTGCCCCCAACTTCCCCTCCTGCCGGCCTGGTCACCCTCAACTGCACCCCCCAGGTGGCCTGGTCACCTCTAACTGCCCCCTGGCAGGCCTGGTCACTTCTATTGCCTCCCCCTGCTTGCCTTGTCACCCCCAACTGCCCCCCCCCCACTGGCCTAGTCTCCCCTCACTGTCCCCCCTGCCAGCCTCCAATTGCCCCCCCCCCTGCTGGCCCAGTCACCCCTCACAGGCCCCCCACCAGCCTGGTTGCCCCATGCAGCCTGCTGTTCAGTTGTTTGGTTGTCCCTCACTAACCCTCCTGCCAGCCTGGTCACTCCATGCAGCCTGCTTGTTCAATCATTTGCTTGTCCTTCACTAACTCTCCTGCATGCCTGGTCATAGGCAGCCATTTTGTGAGGGCATGAGAGTTAATTTGCATATTATATCTTTATTATATAGGGCTAGAGGCCCAGTGCATGACATTCGTGCAGGGGGGGATGGTCCCTCAGCTGGCCTGTGCCCTTTAGCAGTCCAGGAGCCCTCAGGGGATGTCCGACTGATGGCTTAGGCCAGCTCCCCGCTGGACATCTTTAGCTCTGCTGCAGAGGCAGGAGAGGCTCCCATCACCTCCACTGTGCTCAGCTTGTGGCTGAGCGGTGCTCCTGGGTTGAGCATCTGCCCCCTGATGGTCAGTACCCATCATAGTGACCAGTCTTTCTGCTGTCTGGTTGACTTGCATATTACCCTTTTATTATATAGGATTAGATTTTAGGTGAGTGGAAACAGATGAAGATTCCAATAGCTAAGCAAGGGCCATTGATTTATGATTTTATGTGAGGCTGGTTAAAATTGTAAAATGGGGAAAGGAAATAGTTGAATATATATATATATATATATATATATATATACACACACACATACATACATATATATATCTTTATTGATTTCAGAGAGAAAAGGAGAGGGAGTTAGAAACATCAATGATGAGAGAGAATCATTGGTTAGCTGCCTCCTGCACACCCCCTACAAGGGATCAAGCCTGCAAACTCAGGCATGTACCCTTAACTGGAATTGAACCCAGGACCTTTGAGTACACAGGCCAACACTCTATCCACTGAGCCAAATCAGCTACAACAATAGCTATATTCTTACAAGAATGTTATATTATATAGTTTGTTACATGAGTCTTTCTCCAGTTATCTGTGTTGCTTGGATCCACTATTGTGTAAATCCAGGGATTGTCTGGTCTCCCATCTCATACCCCTCTTCGTGTTGAGGATCCAGGAATTCTTTCCCCTAAAAGTTTTATCTTCTCCCCATCTGGGCCTAGATTTAGACACAGATCCTTAACCTCCAGGTGAGCAATGTTGCTGGGTTGACCCAGTTTGCTTTGTCCAGGAAGTGACTCAGACACAGACTCACTTAATTTTCTTCTGGGATTGCACGATCGAAGGTTTACAGTTTTCTTTTTTTAATCTTTCACGGTGTGCTGCGTACACAGCCTGGCATAGGGTTACAGATTCAAGGGCGAGGGATGGGGGTGTTGGCAGGGAGGGGAGCTTCCCCTCCTGGCTTCTAGCCTTCTTCCCACACCGTTTCCTTCTCGCTGGGAAACCCGGGCTCCGCCGTCCGGAATAGGTGCGGGGATGAAATGCGGGAGGTGCAGCCCTGGGAAAGAACTTGGGTTTACAACCCAGCCTCCGGCAATTGAAACTGGGTGTGTCACCATGGAGATGGGGCCGGCCTTCGTGCGTGGCTGCCATTGGCTGGGCGCTCCCGGGCTGGGGATATAAGCCCGCGCCCTGCTCACAGTGCTGAACCAGTGGCGGCAGCCCAGCTCAGCGGAGCAGAACCCTGCGGAGAAGGGCAGGCTCCCCGGGAGAGCCGAGAGCGCGTCCACGGCACCATGGAGGAGAGCCGGTGAGGCGGGCACCAGGCCCGAGGCACCCCGAAGGCCCCTGGGGAGGGGAAATAGCTGTCACCGAGCCCTGGAAACTTGGCTCTCCGAACCCAGAGGTGGCCGGGAGAGTGCCCTGAAGATGCAGAGGCCTGGCATGGAACCGGGTGCCAAGGACAAATTGGCAGGGCAGTGTGGGGCGGCTCGGGCCGGCGGAGGCGCACGTGGGAACAGAGCTGAGGAGGCGCCGCTAGACCAGGGAGGGACCGGTTAGCACCGGGGAGTCTGTGCCAAAAGGAAGCCCGCGAATGTGCAGGCGCGCGCGCGCCCACACTCACGCACTTTTGGGGTGTAAGCGTAGAGGGAGGCATGCCCCCATCCCCATGTGCTCTTCACAGACTCCCTTTCTAGTGTCTAGGTAAAGCTGCAAGGTAGTTTTTGTGCCCGTATCCTGAGTTCCTCCTTCAGAGGAGATACCGCTCACGTCCCTCGCCTACCCAGCCTTTCCCTCCAAATTGGAGATTCAATTAAGTTGGGGGACGGAGTCTCCAAGGAGAAAAGGAAATCTTTATTTGTTGAATTGAGCAACAGATCCTGCCCACTACCCCCACCTCACCCCTTTGAAAACCCTTCTCTTTGCTTTGTTTCCAGCGTTAGGGGTCACTGGCTTTTGGATGCCCAGGGCTACGGGGTGTTCTTGGGGGGCGGACGGTCAATGAGGAAGTCCTGTAATCTGCGGCTAGTTATGCTGGGTGTCTAGGTCTTACTTCTTTCGTTTCCTTTGCCCCTCCTGGGGACGCTATCTGATGAACTTTTTGCCATCTTATTGCTTCTCGTCTCCATCATCTTGTGGCCCCAGCTCCATTGCCCTCGTCCTATCCCTGAACCTAGCTACCTTCCTGGTGTATTGTGGAGCCATGTTGTTTCAAAGGTTCTTCTTTTGAAGGATAGGATTTCCTCTAGGGAAGCTTCCTTAGTTGTAATCAGCTCTGTTGCATCTCAGTTTGACTTTTTTTTTTTTTTTCCTTCTTCTTCCTCAATCTTTGATCTTTTCAGATGGATGTGAGAATTGGATTGGACCCGTGAGAAAAATTCAAGGTTGATTGGGGGTGGGGGAGGGGCAAGTGTTCTGGGTACGTGTGTGTCCTTAGGTCTCTGAAGGGCAAAGGACCTTGGTACAGAGAAGGGGAAATGGGAGAAGACTGGGCGGAGAGCACAGCAGGGGGGAAACTGGGAGAAAGGCTGTGGAGCAGGAGCATGATTTGTGGAGTCTAGGTATTTGGAGCTCATTAGCAAAATTAATTAATTTTCAAACTGAGCTGTAAGATGGGAGGGTCTCCTTGCCCTCCTTGATTTGATTATTTCAACTATATGTCTGTGGACCCTGATCCCTTTACGTCTTGTAAATCTTTGTCACAAGGAGAGATAGTAAATTTGAAAGTTATACAAAACTTAAGTTGGGGCTGGTGGTGGAAACATTAACTTTTGTCAGGCTTTCCAATGAATTTCCTATCATGCTTTCGGTGGGTGTGATTCAGAAAGGGGAGTGGGCAGTTGGGCCACCTTAACGTTGCCTTTCCCGAGAGAGGCGCCTCCAATCTGGGCAGCTCTTCGGCTAGCTTCTCTGCCTGTCCCCTGCCACCTCAGGATACCTGCCAGCCTTTCTGTAGTAAAGGTCCTTAGTCTCTCATGCCCTTGGTATGGGAGCAAAACTCACCTTGATTTTTTTCTTCTTTCCTAGATTCACGTATGAAGATTGTCAGCATACTGCAGAATGGCTTCTGTCCCACACCAAACACCGACCTCAAGTGGCAGTGATCTGTGGTTCTGGCTTAGGAGGCCTGACTGATAAATTAACCCAGACCCAGTGCTTTGACTACAGTGAGATACCAAACTTTCCCAAAAGTACAGGTACTGGCAAGGAGAGAGGGGTGGGACTGAGGGATATTGATAGGATTTTTTTTTTAATCTTTATTGTTGAAAGTATTACATATGTCACCTTTTTTTCTCCCACTGACCCTTATACCCTGCCCCTGGACCCCCACCCAATGCCTCTACCACTCTTTTGTCTGTGTCCATGTGTTATGTATGCAAGTTCTTTGGTTGATCTCTTCCCTAACACCCCCCCCCCCCCCCCCGCCCTTTCCCCTGAGATTCTACATTAATGGGATTCTGATGGGAGGGCAGTGCTTCTATGCCCAGGCCTTTATAAACAGGGGCAGGCCGTATAATGCCCATGAAATCATTTGGTCTGGCCCTGCCAAGGCATTAGGGTGTTAGTTACTCAAATGTTTGGCCAACTCTAGCAGGCTAATTTTTAAGTCAATAATTTTGTATGGCCTCAAATGACGTTCTAAATATGCCAATGGCCCGGGGTAGCAAAAGGTCCCCACCCTTGCATGGGATTAAAGACAACTTGTAAGAGTAGAAAACAAACCACCATGAACAGAGTGACTTTAGAATGAAATTCCCCTAGAAGGACTGTCATGATAGGGCATGTATGTGTCAGTGGGACTAGACGATGACACGTTTCCTCTGCTTTAATGACTCAGCCCTCCCTGAAGCTCTACGGCACCTCCCCCGTACACCCTGTAGTCACCCCAGACATACTCACACACCTACATCATCCCTGCAGCTTAAATGGAAAAAGCCTTGCTTGTAACCTCCCAGGACAAAGTCAGGCCTCCTCTGTCCTGTGTTCTCCTGCCATTTCTAATTTCCCCGGCTCTAGGATAAGGCACAGGCTAGAGCATAACAACAGATGGACACACAGGCTACCATGTTCTTGAAAAACAAATATATAAATAGTCCATGAATACTCAGAACCTAACACACTGGCCCTTTTGAGGGGAAAGGGCAGATGTCCCCTATGCACAGAGGGACGGAGGATAACATACCCAGCATCCTAATAGCAGTTGGAAAGCTCTACAGCGAAGGCTTACAAAAGGGCCACATGAAATAGAGGCAAGTTTCAAGTACAGTACAAGGGTAGTTTACTTGGTTTACTTATTAATTTTTCAGATAATTAACTTTTATTGGTTAATATAATACTTCTTTGGATTTCTACCTTCCTCTTTTCCCTGGAGAGTTAGGATTTTTAATAGATTAAAAGAATGTTTTTATTGATTTTAGAGAGAGGAAAAAGGAGAGGGATAGAAAGATAGAAACATCTGTGGGAAAGAAACATCAATCAGGAATCAAACCAGTGATCTCTTGGTTCTGGGTCAATGCTCCAGTCACTGGCCACCTTGGCCAGATGACTAACCAGGTTTTTCAAACCCTAAGGAACCAGACTGGGAGACCAGAGCAGGAAGGTGGGGATGGGGGTTGGAGAAGGAAATGCTAAAAAGAGAGATGGAGAGCGAAATTTTGTAAGGGAGACAGCAGTGACATTGGCTCCACCTGCCACCTCTATCTGCAGGGAGAAGGGCACTCTACTAAGTAATAAGGGGATTCATTTTTTAAGCTTTACCAATTTATTATGTATATTCCACTTGAGTTTTCCTAACCTCCCCTATGTTCTATTACTGGTAATTAAAAATAAATAAATAAACTTCTCTATTTCTAAAGGTCTCTTAACACTCCCCCTTGATTTTGGTTCTTCTCCCAGATCATCCATTTTAAAAATATATATTCCATTGATTTCAGAGGGGAAGGGAAAGAGAGAGAGAGAAACATCAATGATGAGAGAGAATCACCGATTGGCTGCCTCCTGCACACTCCCTACCGGGCATTGAGCCTGAAACCCAGGCATGTGCCCTTGGCCAGAATTGAACCTGGGACCGTTCAGTCCGCAGGCCGATGCTCTATCCATTGAATCAAACCAGCCAGGGCAGACCATCCATTTTTTAAAAGATAACTTGGCCTTTTCATTAGAGGAGAAATGTCAGATAAGAAAATGGTAATGGTGGTTATTACATCTGTGTGGGAGTTATTTTTGCATTCCCACGCCCCATCATGGGCATGTGTTCCCACAGGACAGTTTGGGAGTCCTCATGGAAAAGACTTTGTGTGGGTCCAAACTCAGCTCCTTGCCCTTATTTAGTAGCCTCTTTAGGAAGAAGAATATACTATGAGCGTCCTTTCATAAGTGAAGATGTATATAGTTTAGTTCAGGTAATACATAGGAATACATACTTTGAGAATTTTTGGAAAGTGGTCTATAATTATTGCATTCATTATTACCCACTAATTCTATTTTTTTTTTCTCACTTATTCTTTTACTATATGGCTTTCTCATTCTTTGGAAATTTCTTTAAAAAAATGTTTTTCTCCACTGAAACCAGTGGATAGAGCTTCAGCCTGCTGCGGACTGAAGGGTCCCAGGTTCCATTCTGTTCAAGTGCATGTACCTTGGTTGTGGGCACATCCCCAGTAAGGGGTGTGCAGGAGGCGGCTGATTGATGTTTCTCTTTCATCGATGTTTCTAGCTCTCTATCCTTCTCCTTTCCTCTCTGTAAAAAATCAATAAAATAAATTTAAAAAAATGTTCCCCTTCCTTTGATAAATGTTCACATTGAACATTCTTACCCCCATAGTCCTAATCTTTGAGTGTACTTAAATATTTATTTGTAAGTTTATGATTCATTTCTACCACCACTGACCTAAATTTATGAAAGTGAATGTAATAACATCTTCTTTTGCTTAATTATATCCTCAATTGAGTACAGTGAGTTGACTCATAGCAGTTACTCAGTGTTGTATGAAAACACCACCCCATTCATTTCCCTTTCTTTCTTTGTATTCAGTGCCAGGTCATGCTGGTCGACTGGTGTTTGGGGTCCTGAATGGCAGAAACTGTGTGATGATGCAGGGCAGGTTCCACATGTATGAAGGCTACCCATTCTGGAAGGTAAATTTGGGACATAAGTCTGGGTTGGATCTGGAAGAAAGGGAGAGAGCTCTCTATCCCACTTTATTGCCTAAATTGGTAGATTTTTGGTTCCCTCCTTTTATGATATATGGCATGCTTATCTGAAAAATGGATTGGTGAACTTTTAAAGAACACTTTCTGATCTTTTTTTTATTTTGCTTCCAAGGTGACATTCCCAGTGAGGGTTTTCCATCTTCTGGGTGTGGACACCCTAGTGGTCACCAATGCAGCTGGAGGGCTCAATCCCAAGTTTGAGGTTGGAGATATCATGCTGATCCGTGATCACATCAACCTTCCGGGTTTCTGCGGTGGGAACCCTCTCATAGGGCCCAATGAAGAAAGGTACTTACTTTGCTCCTTTGTGTATAGATGGGAGGTGGTGGTGTAAGGACTTGTCTGGAATTGAGGAGAGAGCTCATTGTCTTCCATTAATCTGAGATAATCCAACCTGTGCCGTAGGTTTGGAGTTCGCTTTCCTGCCATGTCTGATGCCTATGACCGGGAGATGAGGCAGAAGGCTCACAGTACCTGGAAACAAATGGGAGAGCAGAGAGAGCTACAGGAAGGCACCTACGTTATGGTGGCAGGCCCCAGCTTTGAGACTGTGGCAGAATCTCGTATGCTGCAGAAGCTGGGTGCTGATGCTGTTGGTGAGAAGGGATACTTGGCTAGCGGCTTGAAGAGGGAGGTACCTGGCAAACTAGAGAAGGGAAGGAGTAAAAGGTTATAGACCTGAGAGTGGATTGGGAGAAGATTTGACTTGAGAAAGATTGAGTTTCTAGAAAGTGATTTCTAGAAAGGTATTAAGGTTGTGAAGTTTGATGTGTTACAGCATCAAACTTCCCCACTTAGCAGCAGGGGCTTAAACAGCTATACTGCTAATGACATATACTCGGTTTGGTAACTGTTTGTAAAGATTATTCTAATAAATGTCATCCATTGTCACCTTCTGTACCTCTGGCGGGAAGATGGAGCTGCATCATTTGAACTGACTTGGAAATTACCACAGACAGTTATAGATTAGGTTACATGGTGAGGAAAAGAGTCATTTAAGGATCCTGACATGTGGCTTTCCTTTCTCTCCATCAGGCATGAGCACAGTACCAGAAGTTGTAGTTGCAAGGCACTGTGGACTTCGAGTCTTTGGCTTCTCCCTCATCACTAACAAGGTCATCATGGATTATGATAGCCTGGAGAAAGCCAACCACGAGGAAGTACTAAATTCCGGGAAACAAGCTGCGCAGAAATTGGAACAGTTTGTCTCCATTCTTATGAATAGCATTCCACTGCCTGACCATGAGACTTAACCGACCCCGGAGTGGCCTGGCTCTCAACATTATGGGACCCAAGTAGCTGCTACCTACTTTGGACCCTTGCTGTGGTGACATGCCTCTGGTGTTAGATAGTGGCGGAAAGGAGAGGAAGATCCCTATCCTTCACTTTCCCACTTCTCCCACCAAACCCTCCTGGTGCCTAGTGCTCTTTTGCTCAACTGTCTTCTTATAACAGTAACTTCCATTATTTTCACTTTCATTATTTTCAAGAGCTGGAGCCCAAGCCAAACCCTACTACACATCCATGAACGTTCCCAGGATTTGACTCGGGCTACTGACTTCGGCACAGTAATGGTTGCTGCTAGCTTTCTGAGAGAATGCTTTCACATTCCTGGGGATTCAGGTCTACCTCCCACAAAGCCCTGGAGACCACACAAGGACCAGCTCAATATCTCTTGGACCTTAATACTACCATATTTTGAGAATAAAGAAGAAAGATGAAATAATTTATTTTTATTTTTTGTGCAATTTGGGGCACAGGCCAAGCCTGGCATAAAAGGCTGTGAGAGCACATGTCTTGTGAGACTTTCAGCTTCTCAGCCCAGTAGCTAAGGACTGAGATCATGTATGTAAATTAAGGAAAGGTTGAAGAAAAGGGAAGATGATGAAAATAGAGGAAGTGTTAGAAAATGATAAGGAAGGGCTAACTTATGGTCCCTCAGGCCAGTCTTGATCTGTCCCTTGTCTTCTGAATGTTTTCCTGTTTATGCTCATGAATACCTGAATTATTTTACTGGTTTCCACTTCTGTTCCCTTGTTGCCAGTTCTGTGTTAAGCCCTAATTATATTTCCTCTTGATTTCCTTCTCTCCATTACTCTGACTTCTTTCATAATTAATAGCAACTGAATGAAGAGTACATTCTGACAATGCAGTGGCAAATGCCCCTTTATCTGCTGTCAGCCACTTCACTGCTGATTAATTTTGTCAACCCCGGGTAAGTTGAGTTGGCTCTTACTCAACTTCTATTTGAGCACTTTCTTTTCCCCTATTGCTCACGTTCTGGGCTCCAGTCTTTCTCTTCATTTTTGCTTAGTTAGAACCTCTCTGTGATGCAGCAGCCAGACATGGCCCCCACCTTTTTTCGGCTTATTGCACTGTTTGTGCTTATCAACTTGCAGTCAGCTGGCTGGCCTGTTTGACAACCACGCTATCCTCCCAGCCTGATTGCCTTTTGAGAAAGGAGAGGGCTGGATGAGCCTCTAATGGTGACATGTCAATTAGTAGAATATGAAAGAAGCATTTTGGATGGAGAGCTTTTGAAATCTCTCTCAAATTGTGTTAAATTAAGAATATAAAAATGGTCTTTTCTTAAGTGCCTATTCTTTTTTATTCCTCAATTACAGTTGACATCCAAAACTATTTTGTATTAGTTTCTGGTATATAGTATACTAGACAGACAGCAATAGAATTTATGAAATGGTCACCCTGATAATTTAAGTACTTGGTACCATAGGTAGTTATTTATTACAATATTGACTATATTCCCTGTGCTGTACTTTATATTCTCATGATTATTTTATAACTACTAATTTGTACTTCTTTTTTAAAAAAATAAATTTTTATTGATTTCAGAGAGGAAGGGACAGGGAAAGAGAAATAGAAACATCAATGATGAGAGAGAATCATTGATCGGCTGTCTCCTACATGCCTCCAACCGGGGATTGAGCCCACAACCTGGGCATGTGCCCATGATTGGAATCGAACCTGGGACCCTTCAGTCTGCAGGCCAATGCTCTATTTACTGATTAAGACAAGCTAGGGCCAATTTGTACTTCTTAATCCTTTCACCTTGTTTTCCCAGTCCATCAGCTCCCTCTTCTCTGGCAACCATCAGTCTGTTCTTTGTATCTATGAGTCTGTTTCTGTTTCATTTGTTCATTTATTTTGTTATTTAGATTCCACACAGAAGTGGAATTTGTCTTCCTCTGACTTATTTCACTCGGCCTGATACCCTCTAGGTCCATCCCATGAGATTCATGCACTCGGGGTCCCTCTAGCAGTCCAGGAGCCCTCACGGGATGTCCCCACTGATAGCCCTGCTGTGGAGGTGGGAGAGGTTTCCCGCCACGCCCACTGCACTCGCCAGCTGTGAGCCTGGTTTCTGCTGTTCAGTTGATTTGCATATTACCCATTTATTATATAGGATAATATTCCATTATATGGATACAGCACTTTAAAAAATCAAATGTCTTCAATTTCAAAGTGCCAAATTCAGCCCAAATAGAATGTATCAGTTTAGGTAACCAAGAGAATAAAGGCACAAAATCAGGGGAGGTAGATCTTGGAGGGACACCTAAAGGATTGTTCTTGGGGGGAAAAAACTGATGATGAGACTATTCTCCAGAGGAGCCTGCAGAACGTCTGCAAAATGGACTGTTTTTCCTGAATCTCATGATAGGTGTCAAAGCACGTACTCTCCATCAAGTTAGGCTTTCTTCCCTACCCTATCATGCTCATCTTTATCAACATCAATAATGCTTGTTAATCAGATACTTTGAATAGAACATTGTCCGAAAAAACCTAATATAAATTGATAAGACAAAGTGCTTGCTATCTAGATGGGAGACAGGATATATGGACACAAAAGCCTGAATTAGTTGTGTCCTCTCTGTCTACTTGTAGTCTTTTCCTGTATTATCTTGCCATTGTTTAGAATTGGCTTCCATGAGTAAGATGGACTTTTTTTTAAAAAAAATCCTCTCCTGAGGATATTTTTCCATTGGTTTTTAGAGAGAGTGGGAGAGATAGGGAAAGACAGAGAAATATTGATGTGAGGGAAACACATGGGTTGGTTGCCTCTGCAGAAGCCCCAACCAGGGCCTGGGCCAGGGAGGATCCTGCAACTGAGGTCCTGCAACCAAGGTACATGCCCTTCACTGGAATCAAACCAGGAACCCTTTGGTCCACAGTCCAATGCTCTAACTGAGCCAAATGGAGCAATGATGTTTGAAGAGTAGCATATCCTGGCTTGTGCTATAGGAATTCAGAGGAATGAACCAACACTTGGGATGGGGAGTGGGGAAAAGACTGCTGACACTTGAATTAGGTCTTACAGGAAAGAGGTAATATGGATTGGCAGAAGGTACTACAAGCAGGTGAATTAAGGAATGCTTAATCATTTAATAGATTGAAATAGTTAAATTGGAGGGAGCAGTGTGAGATAAGATGGTGTTAACATAAGAAACACTCAAACCTGTGAAGAATTTTTGTGAGTTTGAGCCTAATAGTTGACAAATGTCAGGAAGCAGAACTCAATGAATTGAGATAAAGCTCTAGAGAATGGCAGTTTTGTACCTTGTACTATATATTACAATCAAAAGGGGAGATGTAAGTGGGTTACATAAAATCCACTGATGATAGATTAGGGAAATGGGAGAAAGCAAAGTAGGCAAACCTCTGGGTTAGATAAAAAAATAAAATGATACTTTTCTTACATGGTTACAAGATAGTTAACAATCAACAACTAACTGAGTAACAATGCGGGCATTTGTGGTCTTCCGCTGAGCAATGCCTGTGCCTGGAGGGGACCAGGAAAAGGAAAATTACTTTGACATTCCAATGATATGTTATTTTAGATGCAAAAAGTTGATAGACGGGCTCAGTTCAGTTAAAGATTGACATTTGTCAGGGAAGATACTGGCCTAAGACATGATTAGCCACCATAACTGTTTTTTAGTTTAAAAAGTTTTAATTTTGGACCATCCTTTTCGTTACTTTAGGTCTCTAAGTTTGCAAGGCTGCCATGTAGGCCTTCCCTGAGTTAGGTAGTATGTGGCCCCTTTTTGTCCACACATAACCCTTTTGGTAACAAATCAATCCAAAGGATGCATTGATAACCAACCCTTTGGTTAGATTATGGGGTCCTATGGTGCTAGGAAGGCTCCTTATTAGGAAGTCTCAATGTCAGCATTTGTCTTGCTGAATAGGGTGGACCACTGGGGATGGGCAAGATTATAAACTTAGATGGTATTCAAAGTCGAATTATTATTATCCTATCTAATAAAAGTAATATGCAAATTGACTGTCACATCAAGTCATAAGATGGCCATCCCCATGTGGACACACAGGGCCACCACAAGATGGCCACCACAAGATGGCCTGCAGGGGAAGCAGTTGTGTGAAGTTAGGGGTAACCAGGCCAGCAGAGGAGGGCAGTTGGGGGAGACCCAGGCTTGCAGGGAAGGGAAGTTAGGGGGGGACCGGGACTGAAGGGAAGGACTGTTGGGAGCCACCAGTCCTGGATTGGGATTGGGCAAATGGGTGGTTGGACATCCTTCAAAGGGTTCCAGATTGGAGAGGGTGCTGGCTGGGCTGCACCCCCCTCCCTCTAGTTTAAAATAAAAATATAGGTAAATTGGAGGCCGTAAGATCCTATATGTCCTTGTTAAAAAATATTCTGGGTTATTTTTATTTTTATTTTTTTTAAATCAATCTTTATTGTTCATATTATTACAAAGGTTCCTCATTTCTTCCCCCCTCCACCAGGTTCCCACCCCACCCTCCGTACCCCCCCCCATCCCCCATTGTCCTCATCCATAGGTGCAGTTTATGTTCAGTCTCTTCTTCCCTCAATTTCCCCAATAGTAAATCCCTTTTCAGATAGTAAATCAGTTACTTAGCATTTTCTCATATCAATAATACCTCCACATGCCCAATGATATACTTCACACAAAAGACATTTCCCACTAGGTCAACCAGCCTCATCCAGGCCCCACCCAAGGCACTCACAGATCAACACCCCAGTCCTAAACTAATTCAACACATCCAGATCTAAGCCTTCATCACTTGATTCAGCAGACCCTCAAGTTCCCACGAAAGTTTCCAGCCATGTCTGAGAAGCAGCTGTGGAGCAGGGGCAGGCAAGGAGCGAGTTGTTCTGGGCCTGGCTGCTCAGGGCCTGGCCTCTGTTGCTCTGGTTCATTCCACAACCAGCTGCTCCGGGTCTGGTCACTGCCGCTCCCTACCTAGTTGC